TGCGGGTATTACATAACACCCTGTATAATGGACTGTGGAGAGAGACGATGGCACAAATAATTTTGCTGAACATGCCAGGATATCTGTTGCTAGTTCTTTATGTATGCAAGATTGCAATAAAATAGAGTTAGTTAAATGAACATGAAAGTTAAATGATACATAACGAAATATAGAACGAGAGTCATTAACTCCGTTAAATAAAGCTCGACTAGTGTCGATCGCAATGCGTATCGAGAATTGTACGATTAGTAATAGCAGTTAATATCGATACGTCACCTGGTTTTTTCATTAAAGACCTTTCCGAATCTCGCTTGACGCGAGGCGACAGAATTGGCTACGTGAGATCAAAGCGTTCGCTGAACACTAACTAGAAGCTAATTTTCTCGTGCCACTAATTAAAGAGGTTTCACTAATTAAAGAGTGGTAGAAATAATCCTTAACGATTTCGACTTTCGGAAAATCGCTGACGATCATTTTTCCCTCACTTGCTCTTTCTCTCTCTTTCCCCGTTGCTCTTGTTCCATGTAGCAAATAGAGAATTTCGCAACAAGATGTAATTCTCCACGATACTTTCAATCGTTGAAGGAAATAGAACAACGGTGGGATGGTCGAATGGCCCTGAAAAGGGTGGAAAAGGGCATTTCGCGGGAACGAAATAGCATCTAAACGAATTTGCGTTCAGTGCCGCTCTCATGATGGTTTGTTTTAAGATGCATCGCACGGCGCATTTATCTCAGCCATGGACTTTAATTAAACTTTCTTTCCCAGAGGGAAGAAAATACATAATGAGAACATTTCCCCGTGTGTATTGCATCGAGTGTATGCACATGTATGCATATGTGTGTCGGGGGATACTCTTTTGTTCCTCTTCTTCTTCCTCTCGTAGAACAATAGAAAGGAGCAGCGTCTGGAAATCGATCCATTTTTCTCGTATCGCGTATCGTTGCAAGAAACGACATTTGTTGTAATCTGTTGCGTTAACTCTAATTAGGTTGGATACGTTGAAATTTCCTTTTTTGTTGCGCTCGAAATATTGTACGATATAAAAAAAGAGACGGAAATATCAACTAGAATTAAATCGAGTTAATTAAATCGACGCTAAAGTTAAAATTAAGAGGTGAAAGGTGTATCACAATTTCTTGAATAAACATTCCGAGAATCTCTTGAATTCTATATTTATATTCATTCTCACCTGTTCGCGATAATCTAGGACTATATATAGAGCGTACAGCTAACGCAATTAAATGCAAAAGCGCGTTAATTCAACCTACGCGTTAAACGTACTTTGCATCATGTAACTAGAAATATGCGCCGCCGTTCGGTAGAAATAAATCCCTAGAAGAGTTAATTCAACATAATTTCAACATGATCTCAACGGCTTCTATCGTTCGTTGATTATTATTTCTCATATTTCTCTTTTAAACGAAGCGAGTTGATCATTTTTACGCTACAGGATTATCAGGATTATACGTTTCGTTGCTGTTCGATAATTTATCGGTGAAGCTTATGCAAATGTTATGAAAGATTGATCTCACTCTTGCAGAACATTAAATTAAATTTACAGTGTCGTAATATAATTGGCTACTAATATCAAGTACATCATAGAATGTTTGTCATTAAGTCAGAGAAGTAACAAAAATAACATGAAATACGACAAATTACACCGAATTTAAGACTATCTTGCGAGTTTGTGGGCGGTTAGCACGCTGTTTATTGAGGGCGAATACTAAAAGGTTTATATTTGTGTGTGGGACATTTAGATGGCAAACATAACACAACAGTATATATAGTACGTGATTTCTACGTATTGTAAAAAGATGTCAAAGCCTAGAACATTGTAAAAAAAAAATCGGAAAACGAATTCATTATACATAGATATTGGAAACAAATCATTCGGGACACGTCGCGGGAATTAAACGTACTAACTCGGTGCAGCAAGAATCAAAGATGTGAGTGCCCTCGTGTCTCGATCGCGTGCTTTCTGTGTATAAACGCGATGTCGCTCGTGGCTCGTTCCAAAGTCCCCTTTAACTCCCCTCGTAATTGTAGAAATTAATTTTACGACAATGTACCGTGGCGCTTTTGTGATCGTAAAACTAATTCGTCATCTATTTTATTAGCCCCTCCCGCCGGCGTCGCGGCGGAACGCGGTTCAGCTCGTTTGTCCGGATTTTATTTCTGACATTCACATCTTTACTGCTTGCTATCCCGACATAACGGTCACCATCGATGCAAGTATAGAAATAAAATTGTACATAAAGGTCCTAGGGAGCCTGTCCCGTGTTGTCGTTCGTGAATGAGCGCGTTGGCCGGGCGCGTAATTGTCTAGCTGGACAGACCGTTTCCGGCGGCATAAGTATATTCGCGTGCGATATCGCTTCAATTTTACGATCTCTACGAACGGCCCATTTAGGGTCTTAATTGCGATAATCTAAATATTACGATACGCAGTCAATCCGCTTATGCCTCGAAGAGGCTTTTCCATCGGGAGAGAACATTCCAGAATCTCATGACGAGGCGCATCGTTCACTCCGTCTGCATTAAACTCCGCTTAGATCGAACGAATTCGTTTAAACAATAATTGCCAACGTTTTATGTCTCCTCACTTGTTCGCGATGCACTTTCGTTCCCTTACGCCGAGAAGAAGATGTAAGGGGAAAGAATGTTGAGACGAGCTGGCAAAAGCTTAATCGCCTTTTCTCGTGACTTGGAATTTCTTGATAAAGAAACATTTTTCTTCCATTAAAATTGAGATATGAATCTGGACGAGTTTAAACGGAAAATTCAATTGGACAAGCTTAATGTGCTAGAAGTCTCGACAGAGATCGGATGTTCCTCGTATCACTCTCCGACGAGAAGGCGGATCTGTACCGCTAAAATGCGATAAACCGGTGGTGGGATTTGGAAGCTTTTAGCGTTGATCCACGTGATCCTCCGCGACATTCTCGACGCTCTACACTAGCGCGACTTACACGCGCGGCATACACTTCGGAATCGCCGTGACAGGAAGCTGTATTCTTCGTGCGATATGCGCCCGTGGAGCAGCGTCCCGTCACGTCGAAATAAAACAGGATCGCGGTTCATAATCGCGGGACTTGTACGACCTCGCGACACGAATAATTTTCGCGAAACAAACGTGGAGATTGATGACTCCAACTTTCCGCGCGGCTGCCGGCGCGCGGTTTTAGAAAAGTACCCTATCTCGCGCAGAGATAACGCAGTTACGCTAAATTAAGCGTGACCCTGGGCCGAGAAGAAATTAGGGACGGAATACGGGATAATAAGTCCTGAGAGATAGGGCAGAGAATGGAGGAAACTATCGACTCTTGGGAAACGTATAATCCTGACTCCCACGGCGATCTTTTATTTTTCCACCGCGTTTCCGAGCTGCTCGAGCGCGATAGGTCGCCCGAACACGCTAGCTCTTTCGAGAAGCAATTCGAGCTGCCCTTTTCGGTGCGCCTGATCCGCGAGCTTGCCTTCGAGCGTTCATTATCCGAACGATAGGACCGATCCACTTGCCATTCTAGACTACCTTTGTAATCCGTCGTCTTCGTTTTTCCACCTTACTTGTTTGGTTATTTCGTCGTAGGTTTTCTAGGAATTGCGCAAAAAAAAAACAGGCGAAGGTACACTTACAGGGCGCGCCGGTGTATCATCCACCGGGCGATTAATTAAAAGGCTTAAGTGGAACCTTTGGTGCGATGTTGCTTTGAAATTATTAACGATTCACTTATTCCGAGTCGAGTGCCTTTCCGACAGCAAATGGAAGAATAATTGAGTCTGTTTATTCATTCCACCTGACATTTGTATATAATTTATGGTATTTCATCGCTAGTAACGTATATTGTCAATATGAGTAATGGTTAAATAAATACGGCCATCGTCAGATGATATATCGCGGCGCGCCCTCCGCGTTCCACGGATATATACACATACGAATGTATGTACAGATACTGTAAAAACACGCTTGCCAGATGCGAGTTACCGTTGGTTGACAATCATAGGTACCTATTAAAGGGACAGCGTCCGAAGTCGTCGGCATGCTTTCTGCCACGAGGTTCAGGAAAACTGTCAGCGACAGCAGAATGGTCACTCCTGAACAGGTCCAAAAAATTAAACATCAACACTGCGTCGCAACGCGCGGGCTTAACGTGCTACCTTGGATCTCTAGGGCACCTAGATTTAGATTTTAGCGCTCATTAGGCCGTTGACGCCTGGGAGGCTATCGAGATCAATCGTGCGTACGATCACTTTTGTTTCCACCGAGTGACGTAAGTCAGCTCGAGTCATACGCTCGGACTTCTGCGTTTCATCTCAAATTCGCTGACTCGCACTCACGTATCGTGATCTACCGATTGACAGCGCTGTATTGCGAGTCCAGCTCGCTCTGAGATGCGATCTATGGATTACCATGACGTCTCCATGTTTTCGATCATGGAGAAGTGCGTAGGTAGGTTAAATGATGTGATCCTACTACTGTAAACGTGAAAATGTAATATTTACCTTCTCCCACAACTATTTGTCGCATTCCTTACGGCTATATTGTACCTGTAGTTACGCGTGGAGAATAATGTACGTCACACATAAATCCCCAACAGTCTCGCTGAAAGTGCGACGAGAGAAAAATAACGAGAACCCGCTGCGTCAGTGTACGAGTGACTGATTTGTAGACGAGCTAGAACTCGCTGATTACAACGTGATGTTAATGACGATGGGGGAATGTCGGGAATGATCCGATAGAATCCGTGCGATGACCGCGCGAATTACGCGACTCTGCGCAAACATTCGAGAAGACATGTCCGTGAGCTCGCTCGCATGATTAAGTGTGGACGACCGCGAACAATCGAATCCCGTGTATCCCATGTAGATTCTACTCGCCCCCGGCAGGGTTTCCAAGGGTAGGATTAGCTCGTAAAGTTCGGAACGTGTAACGAACGCAGCGCGCGGGTGTGCCGCGAGGATCCGCAACGTTAGGCGACTTTGGTGAATCTCCCTAAGTCGCCGGCAACTCCATTACTGCGTAACAGCCTTCAAAGTGACCAGCAAAATTCGATTATCTTGCCGCTCCTCTCCAGAATTGGGAACTTCTACGAGCGATTGACAACTCTCGTCCGCGTGAAACGGACAGTTCGACCGCAAACTGATTGGGTCGGGTGGGACTCGAATTGTCATATGAATTCATGGAGAACCGGGTAATTCGATTAAGAACTCGGTATCATAAACGAATGCTAATTGAAGAATTATTACTCTGTGCAGGGTACGGCATAGAAACAACGGTATAAATGTAACCTTCGTAGAACGTAACATTTCGCACTTTTAGGCAATACTATACTTTTTCAGTGATCACATATTAGTTTGGTAAAATATTTTATTATTAAATATTAAAATTTGCGGAAATAGTCATGTAATGTTTATGATCCTTGGAGACTTTTCACAGAACATGCCAAGATATCAAAAGTTACGTGGAATCATTGAAAAATTAGCCTATCCTGGTATATTTTATATATTTATTGAATCGCTTGTGTTGGTGTAAGAAAGTATAACTTCACTGTTATAGAGAGAATATCGTTACTGCGTAAAAAGACAACTAATTAAGGATAATCGGGCCCTATTACATTTTTGTTAATAACCTGCTTCTGTTCAGTTTGGTAACAGTAAGTACCTGAGAGATCACGTAATATTCCTTGAACAAAATCAACAAACCGTGATGTTGCGAGTTAACTCACCAAGTTCGGAGCATTACGATGGCTCTTGGAAGCGCGAGGGGACTTGACAATGAGTCATTAAGCTTGATGCATGTATACGTAGTTAAGTTACATGAAACTCTGCTATGGAGCATAGTGGACTCATTCTGTTAGTCGATGAATCGTCGTAGCCATTAAATTGTCGCTCGCAAATCAGAAAGTATGAAATATGCGACGCGTTCGTCGTGATGCTTCGGGTACGAATCTCGTCGCAATCGACCAAGTTAATTAGAAACGCGCGCATCTGTGCCGTGAGCAATCGACGAGTAAACAATTACAGATATTACACATATTACGTGATTGATAAAAAAGTAGAAGCAATAAAAAAACATTTCTTTAAGGTCATTTATTAAAGATATATATTTAATTATCTAGGAAAAAAATTTATCAGAAGCCTTGCGAGACTGCAACATTTCAATAATTATAATTCGATATTCGTAATCGTAAATCGAAGAATTTTTTTAATGATCTTTTAAATCTGCTGCACAATCCCGACTTTATTCGATGAATGAAGAAATTGGAAGTAGAGAGAGAGAAATAAAGCGTTTTTAAAGATATGTTCAATTATCTAAAAGCACAAAATTTATCAGAAGTCTCGCGAGATTGCAACGCCAACATTTCGATAATTATAATTCAATATTCATAATGGTAAGTCGAAGAATTTTTTTAATGATATTTTAAATTGGCTGCGCAATCCCGACTTTATTCGATAAATGAAAAAATTGGAAGTAGAGGGAGAAAAAAATTAAGCGTTTTTAAAGATATGTTCAATTATCTAAAAGCACAAAATTTATCAGAGGTCCCGCGAGGCTGCTACGTCAACAGTTCGAGATCGTGTAAGTCGAGGAATCTTTTCTTTAATGATACTTAAAATCGACTGCACAATACTGGCTTTATTTGATGGGCGGAAAAATGGGAAGTAGAGAAGAGAACAGCATAAATGAGTATTTCTTTGTATATCCAATTATTTAAAAACGTAAATTATCAGAAGTCTCGCGAGGCTGTAGTGTCAGCATTTCGAGATCGTAAATCGAGAAACTTTCCCTTTAATGGTATCTAAAGTCGGAAACAAGTTCTTCTTTGTAGCCTTCACTTGCGTTTTAATTCGTTTAATAGTACGTTTAAGTGAGATACGATCGAATGAGAGCACCGTATTTCGATGAGATCGACGGATGTAAACCGCGACAAGGTGCGTCCGCGGTGGATGGCAAACCGCCAATAACATCGGGGGTTGTCGGTCAGCGGGGGAAGGCGCGGAGCTTGAGGAAGGCTGACCAATTAGTTCCTTGCTATTAGACCTCGAGCGCTCGCTGGAATACCGGAACGCGTGCGCGATCGATACTTTTTCGAAACCATCCGAGAAACTTGTGCGAGAAACGCTAATCGTATGAGCTGCTTTCACGCTGATGCGTCGTAAAAAATAGATTATTATTTTAGAGACGTGGAAGTTTGCTGATAGAAAGTAGAAAGATTGCTGAAAATAATTATAAGGTGAAAGATTCCATTCTCTTATATTCGAGTAAGAAAGAAATTTTCTGCATACTGATAACTGCTTTTGTATCGTATCATGCCGATCGTTGTATAATTGAAAGATATTTAGGCACTATATATTAAATTTTAGTTCCATAAGTTTTATTTCGTTATGAATTTACGTATAATAGCTTCATTGTTTGGCTCTTCAAGATTACAGTCATTAAAATATTGAATTGCATTTCTTGTTTGCTATTATAGAAAGACGTTCATTAATTTTGCCGGCGAGTGACTTGTTCCCTTTAAATGTGCCAGAGAAATGTTTGCTAAACCAACTATTGCAAGTCACGACCATCGTACATTTATGCGAAATGGTGTGTAATGCTTATGTATAGAGAAGCTTATTCATGCAAATACTGGGAAAACAAGATTATGTGCCAAAATTCTTCTAGTCGATATACCGGCTAGAAAAAACAATGATAAATTTCTCACATAACGAGTTAAAGTAGATTCAGAGCGCTTCGTGGCTCTGGCACTGGGGTAACAATTTTTTTGCAGTAGTTTTCTCTGTTAAATTTATGTATGCAGCGTGTTGCTGCCGTTTGCCTAAATGTAAAGAATACGGAACAGTCAACGTAGAGACAGCCAACATTCCTTAGCGTCAAAAGAGATATGAGTCGCAGGGCAAAGCGGGATTGTTTCTCTCGGTTAAAGAAAAATTCGGACAAAAATTTTCGAAACAAAAGAGTCAAAAAGCCTCGACTCGAAAAGCCTCTTTTTATCCTGAAAATTGAAAAGTCTCTGCCTGTCTCGAACATTTTTAATCTGATTTTTTTTCTTCAACTGAGCGAAATAGCCGCTCTCTACCCGTTTGTTTAAATAATTATTAACTTTCCAAGGATCTTCCACAATACTTCCCGAATGCCAACTTTTCTATTTCAGAATGGCACAACATTTGCCTTTTACTTACAATGTGAGCTTTTGAAATTTACCACACAACAAGTTTGCAAGACTCGCGTCGCGTTCCGCCTGATCACAATAAATCGCAAAAAAAGTGCGACTTTGTAGACTTTTCACTACAGCTTCATTCTAGTTGATTTCTCATCCGATTTCTCATACTCTCGCGTAACAAGTGTTATAACCGCCGCGGGAATCGTGCAACCAGTCTTAATGGAATTTTCACTCCTTGCGAGACGGTGCACGAAACGCTCACCTGTTCTCGAATAAGATGATGCCTTTGGGGAATGTCAGGCATCTCTCGGTATTCATTCTTACCATCGCTATTCAAGTTTGTAGATAGGCTACTGTTCTGCTATATTCACTTACAGATTGTTTGCACTCTTTTTGCAACCTTGTATTGTACATAGACAGATTCGCGTTGTACATTTTATTCTTGGTTCATTTTGCACAGTTACCCATTCTATCACGTTTGTATTTGTATTTATGTATACATTTCTCTTTCCCGTAAATTTTATCATCCTATTTTTCAAAAGCTCTCCTTGAAAAACTCAAAGTATGTCATAAAAAAAATGTATGCAATTCTGCAGGATATGTGCATACACACAATGCGCGCGCGCATGTGCGTGTGTGTGAAAATTTCTTTCTCTTTCTCTTACGCTTAATTTTGTTATATTCTTATGTTCAGTTATATTCTTATATGAAAGACATCGCGATTGTTGGCAAGAGAGTGAGGCAGAACGGTTACATGGACACCCACGTCGCGCCCTTTGTCATGATAATGTTCAATCAAACACAGCCTTCAACAAGGGCGGGTTAGCAGCGCAACGCACGCATTTCTCTCGCATTTATCCGGTTAATGAAATTCGCGAGCGGCTACAACGGAGCTACCTCCCCCCCTCCCTCTCCTCCGCCCCTTCGGAA